CTTATGTAATTGAAATTTATTTTTAAAATACTTACTGTAAAACTGCAAAATATTTTGAACTTTGTTTATTGGCATCATCATTTTAATTACAATAATTTAATTTATTAGGATTTTTGAAAGTATTATTTTAAGCATGTCTGTTTTGGACGAAGCAATTATGAAATTTGGAACTTTGTAGCTAAAATTAAAAATCCAAAGTTTAAAATCTTCATATTATTGAAATTTGAACATCAAATACTAACTGTAAAATTACACAATATAATGCACTATGGCATATTGGCATTATCATTCTAATTGCAAACATTCAATTTTTAGGATTTTTGAAAATATTATTTTATGCTTGACTTTCTTGAATGAGACAATATGTAACTTTGGAAATTTGCAAATTCAGAACTAAAATTACAAATCCAATGTTCTAAATATTTATGCAACTGAATTTTACTCCTAAAACACCAATTGTAAAATTACAAAATGTTTTGTACATATAGTTATTGGCATCACCATTTTAATTACAAAAATTAAATTTATTAGGATTTATGAAATTATTATTTTACTCATAACTTGCAAAATGTCAATTGTTTAGACATTAGATTATTGAGTAGTTACCATAATATCTAAATCTCAAACATTTGGAAATTTAAACGGCGGGAATATACACTGACCCCCCTGCACATACTGGCTCATCAGTACACTGAAAGTTAGTGAAAGCACCATCTGTATAAAATGAATAGTGTATAATAATTATAAAATAGTTTAATTGCTTACCTGCCAATCCAGAGTAGAGAAGAATAAGTTCCACTCCTAATAGTAATGCAACAGTATTGAGTAGCATAGTTGGATTAAACAATTGCTGTAGCTTATTGTAAAACTAGTGGTTTGAATTACCAAGTTCCTTGTTAATTTACTATTTACAATAACTGATAAAAGATCCAATGTTTATAAAAGGATCACATGTCACTTTGCTACACAATATATAATCCTATTATGACTCCAATAACTCTTGCTCCATTGCTCCTGAGCTTCACCATTTTCATTTTCTAATTTTCTTTATTATAAATTCACGCATAGTTATTAGACTAGATGTTTATGATCAACCCAATTATGCCACATATGAGTTATTGTGACACCCTCAAATTATTATTATTATTAGTTAATTAGAAACTATAACAAAACAGCAAGAAATTTCGTTCATTAATTCACGCAAACTGTGTAAGCACAAGTATTGTCTGTTTTTAATTTGTTTCCTCATCTTTGGATACATTTTATATATATTATGCCCATTACTAAGAGTATTATTATTAAAACCACTCCTCCTATAACAGATCCTACAATCCATCCTGTATCATTATTACTTGGATTATCATCACCATTATCACCACCATTTCCTGGTGATTCACATGGATATTCAGTAGTGGTATCATTATCTGCATACATAAAGTGCTCAATATATAAACTATTACACACACAACATACCTTTTGGCTCTCCTGTGCTAAAATCATTTATTGGTATGACTGTAAAGCAGTAGGTCTCATTGTATTTTAATCCTGATCCAGTCCATTCTGTTTCACCATACTCTGTTACTTCATATGGTACTGGTATATTTTCAGTATTGGAATTGTATGATATGTTGTAGTACTGATCTGGATGCTTCACATATGGGTCTAGTGACTCCTATGAATTGTTGAAATACATGTATGGATTATTCATTGTATCTCACCAGTATTATATTCAGTGTCACATCAGCACAGCAACTATCATTCTTACAAGGATCAGTAGTATTAGTTGTATCTATTGTAACATTCATCACTTCATGAGGAGCTACAAATCAAAATTAGGTACATGTTACTGAGCTTATATTCTTTACCAAGTGTGAATGGTTCACTGACGTTACTTTGCTGTCCATTCCATCCTCTAACAGTGTATGCATAGATTTCTGCTGTGTTTAGTTCACTTGAGTTTATAAATATGGTTGTGTCACTAGTATTATGATAGGTCAATTCACTGGTTGATGCACTATTAAGTGTCACATTATACACAGTAGAAGTACAGTTATGTCCAGTGTCTTCCCATTCTAAAGTAACTCCACTTGCATTGAAGGTTGTTGTTAAGTTTGTTGGAGCTTTTGCATTATAACCTATTGAAGGATAATTTACTTTTAAAACTACTTCAATTCTTACCTGAATCTGTGATATTTGTAGTTCTATTGTCATTTACATTTCCATTTTTGCACACAACATTAATGCTCTCAGATGCATTCAAATGAAAAGTGAGCCTTGAGCTATTATCAGACTCATTAAAAGTGAAGTTGTATCCATATTC